ATTAGGACATTATCATTAAATTAAAGTACATTAATTTGTCTCATTTACATATTACACATTTATCTTTAGATTACAATGTGTTATCTTGCCTCTTCTCCTCCTTCAGAGACCTGTGTGGAGAAAAACAGACCACCGGAGCCCTCCTGACCAAATATGCTCGCTCTTCAATGCAAAATGGCATCAAGGTCTTCAACTCCAGAAGGCCTGTGGCTACATGAACATTTCCACTGTCAACAAAATGAATGTTGTTGTTTATTCCCAAATTGATCTTTGCAACTTTCAGTTATTTTACATAGAATTAAAAATGCGTTGTGCCCGTCGAAAGCATTTATCAGTTAACTATCTTGAAGCGGTTTAACTACGTAGCTTGTAAAGTGTATGATCCAAATAACCTATTGAAATTCAAATGTTAAGACGTTTTTGTCAGTAAAACCAAACCTGACCTTTATTATATTTCAGCTGTTATTTTGTCTGTTAAAAAAATGCTACATGTTGGTAATAAAAGACATTTTCATAACATTGTCAGTCACATAGGTTGTTTTCTCAATCTCCTCAACTGACCTCAGATGGACAAATTAGCACTTTTGTCATTTTCAACTGGAATTTACTAGCCGCTGCACTGGACGTTGTCCACAAGGTGGCGGTCTATGCTGAGAAATTCAGTACAAGCTCAACACACTGACTGGATAATACAGTATGTTGTGCCTGATATCTAGCTGTTTATCTGCAGCATTAAAATGACAATTATTTCACATAAATAACTTATGAGATACTAATGCAAAACATTTCTCTAGATAGTACAAAAAGGCATCACCATACTGGCTGCTATAGGGGTCCAATGTGTGCCTGCACATGAGGAAGAGTTCAGTAGGAACTGGCTAAAAGTTACACAGCTTTGTTTCAACACAGACACACACCTACACACATACATCTGGACTTCCAGCATGACTTCATCTTCACTGGCTGGCTGACTAACCCTGACATCACCCCTCCACGTTCACCGGAGGCTCAGCATCCTGTGTGCTAACTGGCTACCTGGGCAGCATGTCCTCTAGGTCTGCCACGACATAGGCAACCACAGCCCACAATGCTGAGCAGAGGTTCATGTCTTGAGGGTCCTGAACGGTCATAGTGTCACCTTCAGTGTGGTGGAACCAAAAGTACCGACTGTCTGCCACATGGAGGCTAGCACCTAGATGAGAGAAGGTAAAGACAGATGAAATACAAACGGTTACAATAAATGTTACACGTTCAACAATCAACTGTTCAAACAGCCCTAGACTTAAAGCCAAAAAAAAAGGTTACATCTGATAAAAAACATCTTTATTGCATCTGGTTTGATCCTCCAGGGACATTTCTGTGGAAGGGGAACGTGGGTCTGAGGAGTGGTTCAATTCCTTTTTAACAATAAATCATTAAAGCTGTCGATCTGGTCCGATTCTATCATGTGGGAAGCCAATAAATACTGACTACTTGGTTAAAGAAGAAATCCTGTTGCTGGTCTGGGCTTTGATAAAACAAATTTCACTTCTCCTTGCGGTGACCTTTCTGTTTCAACCTGCTTATATGTTATAATATCAGGCCTGCTTTGATTTTCTGATGTATTTGGGAAGAATAATTATTTTAATAATGTGTCGACAGAACATGAACTTCTAATTACTTTAACTTCTGGTATGTGCTTATGTACTGGAAGCTTTGGTTTATGAGCAAAACTTGACACTAAATCCACTTACATATTATATGTACATTACACTCACTTCATTATTCTACCAATTGATCGTAGTCCCTGACTATAGTGTTCATGGACATGGCCGTTCTCTGCCTTTTTTCTAGAAAAATGTGAGTGTATGAATGATTTTTAGTATTATTTTGGTATAAAGGACAATGGATGCATAAAAAAAGCTAAGTAGATGTTGACTTTGGATTCTTTTCCAAACTACTGTTTAATGGTCAAAAATTAACTGTCAGTCTAAACTTTAAGCCAACATGGAGAATGAAATTATAAACCACTGAATTAACTAATTAACTATTTGTTATTATCACCCAGCTTACAGCTCCACCCTCCAGCCCAGCAGGTGGCGGTAAAACAAGAATAACTCCTACCAACCACCAATTAATAAAGGGAAGAAGCTGAAGTTAGTTTGTTTTTAGCTTTGGTTAGCTATCCCTGCAGACTACAGTCAGCTCAAACATGGGTCGCAGGTGCGCTTATCCCGAGTGCAAGCTGACCGAGGGTCTGCACTCTCTGCCGGCCAACAGGGAGATGGCACACCGCTGGCTGCACGCTTTGGGGCGGGTCGACATACCCTCCGCTTCTGTTTACGTGTGCAACCTCCACTTTACGCGCGAATCTTTCTCCAACTACGCAGAGGTGGAAATGGGATTCAAAAAGCAGCTCCTGCTCAACCCCGACGCCGTCCCCACCCCCGCCACAGGGGGGACACAGGTGAGTGAGGACCCCCGGGGGACGTGTGGCACACCTGGGTTTATAAGCCACTTCCCTAAAAAAAAAAGAGGGGGCGCGTTTATCCCTGGCCCTGCCTCTGTCTCTGTGAGGTGTCCACTCCCATGATGCATAGCGACCGAAGTCACTTCTGACAGGCTGCACAGGTGGATCACCTGTCCGACTGGTACCAGTGTCCACAGAGCTCCTTATGAAGGACAGTGTTAAAACCTTACAGTAGCTCCAGATACAACACAACAGATAAGATAAATGCACATTAAATAAAAAAAATATAATAGAAAAATACAAGATATAATAGAAATATAATAAAAGAATAAGAGTTGTATGTGCACTATATATATGTTTCTTCAGATGTGATCAATATATAATATTACAGCAGGAGGTAGTGGCATGGTATAAAAATAAATAATTGCACAGGACAAAAAAAATAATATATATATAGCAGTATAGATAAGTGTAAAAAATAGGCTATAGACAGGGCTATGAATATACAGTACAGGTCTAACACTGTAATGTGCATGTAGGAAATTGTATAATGTGAAACAGTCAGATAGATAGATGATTAGATAGAAAGAAGAACTGCTGCTTTGTGTGATGTCCACAACACTTGCAATGAAATGACTCCTCCTAGGATACACCTGTGTTTCCTCCAGGAGCCTCCTCTGTCCTCCATGCAGGGTCTCCTCTCCTGTACTGTAGTGTCAGTAAGTTCTCTACAATGTCAGTGACACGGTTCATTGTGAAATATGAAGAGAATAAAAGTTTGGCCTTCTCAGGGTGCATTACAGGTATTGAAAGAACCTCCATGGATGGAGGGAGGGAATGATTTCCGGGTCGGATCATTTAACTAACCACCTCCTCCTCCACCTCCTCTTTTTCTTCGCTGGCACTAAACTCACTTTCCAAGATGGAAAAAAAACAGTCCTGGCGCAGCTGTTCGGTGGTCGGCTGCAGAAGAGAGAACAGATCTGCATATTTCAGCCTCCCTACATCTGAGGACTTAAAGACTCAGTGGTTAAAGTTTATTTTTAACGACAACGTTCCCATGACAACCAGCAGCTGTTTGTATGTGTGCCCCAGCCACTTCGAGGCAGACTGCTTCACTAATGCGTGTCAAGTCAAATTGGGATATGCTTCAAAATTAAGGCTCAAGGAAGGATCGATCCCGACTGTGCGAGACCCGAGTGTAAAAGCAGAAGCTGTGAGTAAACATTGCTGCACAGTATCGCCCGCTAGCACACTTCTCTGTCTCTGGGGCTTAATGTCTGTGTTCACCTCACTGTCACTGTCCAACCCTCATTGTGCTGGCAGGAGTGAGGTTTTATCTGCTACATATTATGAGGAAGACCAGCTGGATGTAGTTCCTGACGATAGCACAATGCTAAAGGGACTTTGAGGGTTTTTGTCTCTCGGGGCTTCCTGTAAAGTGGCTGCATGATGCTGAGGTAAAACAACCTCTTGTTTGCAGGCAGGTCTGCAGCATTAGCACTGTGCTCACTCTGGTGTAGGTATTATTCTTCTACTTCTTCCCCCTTCTTCTCTTTAGTGTGTTGCTGCCCTCCACAGGGCAAAAAAACCCATTAAAAGTCATTCCTGTAAGCTTGTACAGTCTTGGTGGCTCTCATGTCAGCATAATAGAGAATAATAGCTTATGTTAAACACTACAATGCTTCCCTTTGTGTGTTCTTGTAGTTTAAACATCATGTTGAACAGTGTCAGAAGAACCACTTAACACAATGTAGTTGCATGTTTTCCTTCATCCCACAGTGGGTATTTTGTGATGAAAATGAATATTTGTTTGTAAAAAATTAATGCACGGACGAACACATTTATAATCATTCCATGGGATTTGTTGTCAACAACAAAATTTACTTGAGTATATCATCCTCATATCTTTTGTTTATATAGAAAGTAATGATCTAATAATAACAGTGGTAATAATAATTTAATAATAATAATAATTTATCTATATAGAGGGTCTAAAGACAAATAATTCAATATGCTGTGCAGGTTGTAAAGCCCTGTGAGGCGAATTATGATATTGGGTTAAATAAAAAAAATGTACTTCACTGTTGTATTATAGGCCACACATATTTATATGTATGAAACAAAAAGAAAAGTAAATAAGTAGATTAAGGACTAATTTTAGAAAGTTAATGAAAAAATAAAGAAGAAGAAAAATGAAATAATCACAAAAGAAGATTAGTGTCTCCTTTAGTCTCATTTTCTTACTTTTACCTTCCGCCTTGTCTGAATATTTGAATTACACTCTGCCAAAGGATACAGTGACATCTATTATTACAGTATCTGCTTTCTTTCAGCCCATAGTGTAAACCCAGAAGACTCCCAACTCCTAACAAAGCATTCAGTACTTGAAACCGCTTCTAGTCATAGTATTAACTTCAAAGATGTCTCAAATTTACTTTAGTTTTAAATGTTTTTAAAGTGTGGCTGTTGTCTTTGTCGCTGTATAGGGCACCGCTGGCAGTGCTTGTCGAATTCTTTCAGTAAGACACGTGGCCTCCCAGACTGACCCCCCAGAAAGAAGATCTGTCAGCACACAGCTGTCCACAGGTTTGTAGTACCACACATCATCAAGTTATAGATTCAATTTGGCTTTTACTCACTATTATAGTAATCATGCTCATTTATATTGTTACCCCTAGATAACAAATCTGTTGGCACACAGCTATCCACGAAAACTTTGCAGAACCACTTCCGAAGTACAGGTTTGTAGTCATATTTATCATTGAGTCATGATATGTTACATTTAATTTAGTTAAACTGGTAGTTTTTTTTTTTTTGTGCATTGCAGCTACACAGGTGAGAGTGCCCAGCAGAGACTGTGGCGTGTGCACTCTCACCTTCCCCTTGGACAGCCCGTTACTGTTCCTACAACCAACAATAGTAAAGAGACCATCCAAGAGACCTCGACTCAGACTTACAGACGAGGAGGAAGGCCCTTCAGAGTGCAGCTTGTCTATGGTGGTTCGTGAACCAGAGGATTCAACATGACTTTGTTGACTCGCTGTCGTGGGTTAGCAGCTGTGTATTTTCTGTTTACCTTTTCAGGAATCTCTTCATGGAGAAGAGTTGGTGAATGGCAGACTAGTGAATGGAACAAATAAGAATGCTGAAGACTGATTATTACCATTACCATACCAGGAAGTAGGCTGATGGTGTAAGTGTGCCATCGGGCGACTATTTCAGTCTGCATTCTCCTCCACTTCCGCTAATCTTTGCTACACTATTTTCCAAGGACACTGTCGCAGCATGCTGGGCTTAGCGTTGTCCAAGACGATTGTGATTGGTTTAAAGAAGTGTTTTCCACCACGTACCACCTCGAAAAAAATATGAGGCTCTCTGAGGTCTACCGCTATGACCAACGTTAACGTCACTCAACTTTCAACGAGTGTCTTTGGGCAACTAATTGTGCTGTTCGGTTAATGCTTTAAAGAGGGGCACATGTTTATGGTTCGTCTGGCTGAAGGTCCAAATGTTTTATGTGTTCTTTCTGTTTTCAGTTCCTCCTCTACAAGGTATACCACAATGTCTTTATGGTAATGTGATTTCACACACACTACTAAAACTAGACAGAGCGGGGCCATATGTCTGGACCATTTCAAATCTCCCAATACCACAAAGATAGAAACCGACAAATACATATTTTCATAATCAAAACTCCCTTAAAACTGAGGCAAACAGCTATGGCTTGGTACATGTACCACAGTGGAGTAAATATATTTTTTTAATTTAGGTTCAGTTTCAGCACTGAAGTGTTTAAATTGGTTCATTTGCTGTATTTTATGTCATAAATGTATAAGAAATGGTAACTAACCACACAGATTTTAATGTAGCTTTTGTGTGGAGCTACTGGTAATATGTCCGAATGTTTACTACAAGAAAACTGTAATTTTACTGTTGATTAGTAAACTGTCAGCAGCCTTTGTAAAGCTAGATCCTGTAATGGTTTTCATCATATATACAGAGGTGTGGTTTTCTTTTTTATAGGAAAAAACGGGTTCAGTAGACGTGTTGTAATAAAACAAAGTTCTGTTATACTGATTATGCGCTGTTATTTCTATTCTTATCGTGTTTGTATGTTTAGTGTTTTTGGACATAAATTGTGTATTCACGGTCCAAGGAGAGAATCTCGAGGCTTTTTTTTTTAAGGCAGTTTTAATTCAATTAATTAAAAAAAGCCAGCCCAGCAGATTTTTTTTTTTAAATGAAAAATGATCTCATAATTATGAGTTAAGAAGTTGTTATTTCCAGAATTGTTGTTTTACGTGAATGCAATAAGATTTATAAGAAACACAGTCACTGAAATCACAGACTAAGTCAGGTGTCAGGCTCACATAAAAGGTCATATACAAAAAATGGCTGGCAAGAATATTGGGATGATAGTAAAACAGGAAGAAATCTAAAAAAATGTTTTTACTGGAACAATACAGATCAGGAACTGGGAGGAAAACATCCTGACTAGTTTGAGTCAAGGACAGACAAGCCTCAATAAATCACTTCATAAAACAGGTGAACAATCAACTCAAGTATGTACACTATAATCAGCCAAGATTCACCAAGGATGTGCTGCTGAACCATCACTCAAGGAACCGAAACATTGAAAACTGTTGGGAAAAATATATAGTCGTTCCATGGACATTTTATGTTTTAAAATGTTACCTGTTACCTAAACTTCCTGTTTCATCAGCAATTCTTGCCTGAAAGTTAAGCTTCGTCCACACCGATATGACTTATCAGCAATACATGTTAACCTTATTGGTTCCACAGAGATACCATCAAGATTTTGTCTATTTCTTTATTGACATGACCTTAAACTGTCCCCTGAGCTTTTTATAACTGCACAACTTCCCTATTCCCTTCAAATAATAAAGATATTCAACCAAAGCCATCCCATCTGGACTAATCCAACTTTATATTTTGGAGGAAGTGGCCTCGTAAATGCACCATCTTCATGACTTTGGCATAAACAGATAATAAGAAACGTAATAATGAATATATTTGTCATTCTTGTCTAAGTAAAAACAAAATGGCTAATAGGTAAATTCTATTAGAGCTCACAATTGGAAAAATAATTTGGAAAATATCCTTGCTAAAAGTTTAATCTTTCCTGATAACACCGTTTGTTTTTGCTGATGAAACTACACGTTTATTTTGTCAGTGTGAAATAAAAATAAAGATTTTGGTCTGACTTAATGTGTGTAACACATTTCTAGAATACTTATTTCTCAATTTTATTAGTTTATAGGGGAAAAACTGTTTACTTAAAGCTGCAGTAGGTAACTTTTATAAAAATAGTATCCACCGGGCCTGAACGAAAACAACCAATCAGAGCAGAGAAAGATAATTGATTGTTGAGTCTCATTCCCAGGTGGTCAAATATCAGTGCTGGGAATGAGACTCAACAATCAACTATCTTTAGGCAGCTGGCAGGATATAGTGAAAGTTTCAGAAAATATTGAAAAGTTATTTTTTATAAAAGTTACCTACTGCAGCTTTTAACAGAAGTTCTTAGTTCCCTGATTGATTTTTAAGAATTTTACATTTATTTTATTATGTCTATCCTTCTACTTATTGTTGACTTGAACACTATAAATCCACTGGTGCTATATGACTTCTAGAAGTCAAGAATCCACTTGTCTTATAGTTTTTTGTCTTTCAAGCCAGTTTGCATTTCATTGCATCTGACCTAAACTGGGTCATTATGAAACAGTCTCAACCCAGCCTTTGGGTAATTCAGTGAGTCTCAACCCAGCCTTTGGGTAATCATGCTCTGGTAATAAAAGAGCCACTGGCTGCAGCTGTTTCCCTTTGCTCATTCCTACTGACTTCTCCTGAGAAACTGATCACATTGCTGACGGGGTTGTAAATCTTCCAGAGTGTCGCCCTGGTGGACCGCACATCCCATCCAGAGACCATCTGTCTGCTGCGGGTGGAGGATCTCCCAGAGGACACGCTGGAGCGCTTCAACCACCTTTTCACACTCAGAGAGAAATGGACAGAAGATGACATCACGCCGTACATACAGTAGGTGTCATCCAATTAGGACATTATCATTAAATTAAGGTACATTTATTTGTCTCATTAACATTAGGGTAGAACCAAATCACACATAATTTCTTTATCTTTAGATTACAATGTGTTATCTTCCCTCTTCTCCTCCTTCAGAGACCTGTGTGGAGACCACCGGAGTCCTCCTGACCAAATATGCTCAATCTGCAAAATGGCATGAAGGTCTTCAACTCCAGAAGGCCTGTGGCTACATGAACATTTCCACTGTCATGAAATGAACTCACATTTGAAAATGAATGTGGTTGTTCATTCCCAGAGTGACCTTTACAATTATTGCCCAAACTGTATCCTTATAAAACCTTATAGCTGTCCTTAAAAATACCTTGTTAGTGCTGAAGGTATTTATCAGTCAACTATCTTACCTTCATAATATCATTACAGGTGGTGTTCTGTCTTCTATTGTCCAATATTAGGCACTGGGCTGGAGGTTGCCCACAGGGTGGCAGCCCATGCCGATATATTCAGTACTAGCTCCACCCAACTGACTGAATAATACAGTATGAGCTGACTGATATGCAGCTTCAACTGATTTGTAACGCAGAGCACAAGAGATCATTTATAGAATCACACAAATAAATTACTTGTGAGATTGTTTTGATTCACTGATCTGCATAATGTTGTCAGGTTGTTGGAACCCATGAGGTTTCTGCAGACTGGATGCTGACGATGAGCCAATCAACACAAAAGTATATATTTTGATAATCAATTATTGGTTTATGTAATTTTCTCAAGTAAAAACCCATCCATTTTCCAGCTTCTTAAATGTATTTTCTTTTCTTTCATCTTTGGGTTGGGTTCTGGGAACTTGTAATGGCCATATTTATTTTTGGCCTACATTTCTGCAGACTAAACAATTACTTGAGAAAATAATCAGTAGATTATTCAATAATGAAAACAATCATTAGTCATATTTAATTTGAACGAAAAACCCCACAAAGAATGAAATTCCTTCACTCAAATATGCCTTCTCCCTAGTGAGCTCTCAGACAAGGCTGGGCATTTCTGATGCAACTATTCACTTATTTGGACAATGTTTGCAATGTAGATAGAAGGAAAAGAATCACCATACTGGTTGCTATAGAGGTCCGATGTGTGCCTGCCTAATAAAAAATGTCTAAATCTCAAACAGGAGATATAATAATCAAAGAAACCTGGGTTAATTTTAATAGAATTTATATGATATATGTATATATATATATTAAAGAAGCTGCTCAAAATATCTGGACACCATTTTACTGCATATTGCATATAGTGTATATACTTTTCGTTTATAGTCTATATCTTCTATTATATTTTGTAATATTCTTATTCTTATAGTACTTCCACTTCTGTACTCTTTGTACTACATTCCATTATGCTGCTGTGCTAATTTGAACTTCCTATGGGGGATCAATAAAGGTACAGCTTATCTTATCTCATGTAATTTCAAACACTCCTGTCTGATGTTGATATGTGCATGTGGTTTTCTTTTGTAAATATCTTTTTGGGGCTTTTTTTAATTGCCTTTAATCGATAGTGACAGATGAAGAGCGACAGAAAAGGGGGGAAGAGAGACAGGGGATGACATTCAGCTACAGGGCTACAGGTCTGAGTCAAACCCATAGCTGCTGCAGCAAGGACTCAGCCTTGCTCCAGCTCTACCAGGTGATCTACCAGGGCGCCTTGTGCATGTGGTTTTCTACAGATCATGTCAGCAGGACATATGTGTGATTCAGTGAGCGTTAAACATCCACAGACTGTGTTTATTCACTAACATAACTGTCAGCATGTGAATCAGTTTTACTGGCAGACGACGAAGAGTTGAATAGAAACTGGCTAAAACTTACTCAGCTTTGTTTCAACACAGACACACACCTACACACACACATCTGTGTTTCCAACATGACTTTATCTGCACTGGCTGGCTGACTAACCCTGACATCACCCCTTGAGAGTGTTGACTTATCAGTTCATGGGATAAAGAGATCCCAGCAGTGTGTGTGTGTGTGTGTTTTGCACGGCATTTGCAAAATGATGAGTTCTTTACTTCCTCTCCTCGTCTGTATAATCATTCTTCCTTTTTTGGACTCTGATCTTCTCTTCACTCATCATGTCACCTCCTGCTTCTCCTTTCCATGAACAAAATGTCTAATTTGACATCATCTTCACTCCTATTCCTCTTTCTTGTGTCAGAGAAACCACAAGATCAGCTAAATTCAAAGTATTACAGCAGAACAGCAAATGGGAATAATGGCGTAAAGCAATGACTAATACTTTATTAATATATTGCAACACTGCAATGATGATGTAAAATATTACAGGTCATCCTGTAAATTACCACAGTTAAGCACAACTCAGGCAGGATCAAACCTATACCAGAATGATCTAAAAACAGATTTGAAAAAACTTTAAAATATGCCCTTTCCAGTAACCCTGAAATTTGACAGAAAGCTTACAATCAAAGCACAACTGCATACTGAGAAAAAATAAAATAACAATATACAAAATATACAAAAAATATACTTTCTAATTCTCTCACTTTTTTCCTACACTCTCAGACATCCTTTTTATATGAAGGCACAAAGAAATGCGAAATACCTGAGAAGTAAGGGAATACTTTTGTTCTTGTTTGAAAGCATTCAGCAACATTTGAAAATCTGCTTTTTACTTGAAAAAAGGTGCAATTTCTCCATCATTCTAAGCTAAATCTGTTGTTCTCTGCTGTAAATCATTATGTAGTATGATCATATAAGCATCTATTATGTTGCTTTTTCAATAAAACCATTACTTGTCCTGACTTTGGTCCAGACTGGACTTAAGCTAGCTTGCTTCAGATTCCAGATAATCATTACACAGCCTTGAGCTACAACATTATCTAAATCTATTGGGTTTTCATTTAAAGAAAAAATATTTTTTGTGATTACCAATGTTTTGATTTACTATTATTCAATATCTCTTGTTTATCCAAGGATAAATCACATTCAATTTGCAAACAAAACATTCTTAACTCAATCCATTCAATATCAAGTTTATGTAAAACCAGTCAAGCTGTGGTTCAGGGATCATCCTAGCTTCACGTTCACCGGAGGCTCAGCATCCTGTGTGCTAACTGGCTACCTGGGCAGCATGTCCTCTAGGTCTGCCACGACATAGGCAACCACAGCCCACAATGCTGAGCAGAGGTTCATGTCTTGAGGGTCCTGAACGGTCATAGTGTCACCTTCAGTGTGGTGGAACCAAAAGTACCGACTGTCTGCCACATGGAGGCTAGCACCTAGATGAGAGAAGGTGAAAAAGAAAGTTGTAGTAGTTGAAACAATTGTAGACTCAAAGCCATTAAATGTTACATCTGAAAAAAAAAGATCTTTATTGCATCTGGTTTGATCCTCCAGGGACATTTTTGTGGAAGGGGAACGTGAGTCTGAGGAGTGGTTCAATTCCTTCTTAACGATAACTCATCAAAGCTGTTGGTCTGGTCCAATTCTATCATGTGGAAAGCCAAAAAATACTGAGAAAGTGGTAGAGAGTGAAAAGAAGAAATCCTGTTTGCTGGTCGCAGCCTCAATAAAACAACATCATTTCTCATTGCGGTGACCTTTCTGTTTCAACCTGCTTATCAACCTGTTTTTTTTATACTAGCTTTGGTTTGCTGATGTATTCAGAAACTGTTTTAATAACAATGAGTTGGCAGAAACATTAACTTTTCAACAGTTTAATTTCTGGCATGTGCTTATTTACTGGGAACATTTGCGTATAAGCAAAATTTGGGGAAGTAGGGGACAATGCATCTCTCTCGCTTTTATTTTGGTATAATGGCCTTCAAGGGGCCCACAGAGATTTCTCTTGGTGCTCCCAATGGCCAGTCCAACTATGCCTAATGACAAAGGACAGCACAGGTCTATGTGCCGGGGCTGAACCCCAGACAGCTCTGGTCCACTTTAACCCCTGGTTGTAGTCCCGGTTTATAGTGTTCATTTCTAAAAATACATGAGTGTATGATAATCGGGTTAGGTTAGCAATAGCCTAATGTTTCCAATATGGCCTCATGGTTTAATATCAATTTTGCTTTTTTTTTTTATTTTATTTTTTTTTACTTTTTTTACTTTGGGTTCCTCCCAATGTAGGTGTAAAGGAAAAGAGATGTGTGGTGAAAGACTGACTGTGGATTTTTTGTCAAACTACTATTTTTATGGTCAGGAATCACCTTTAATTCTTAACTTTAAGCCAACATGAGTTTGTAGTAATACGCAGTATTAACATCAGTTATAGTTTAGTTTAGTTATTTATATAATATCATTATTATCATACATACATTTTGCTTAGTTTTTGCTTTTACTTACAATAATAGTAAGTGTGCTCATTCATATTGCTACTGTAGACACTACTGGGAGGATTATTGATTTCTTTGTGCAGTGAAGCTATGCAGGCGAGAGCGCCCAGCAGAGATTCTGATGTGACCTCGACTCGGGCTTACAGACGAGGAGGAAGGCCCTTCAGAGTGCAGCTCGTCTATGGTTGGTTCGTGAACCAGAGGATTCAACATCACTCTGCTGACTCGTTGTCGTGAGTTAGCAGCTGTGTATTTTCTGTTTACCTTTTCATGGAGAAGAGTTGGTGCATGAAAGATTAGTGAATGGAGCAAATAAGAATGCTGATTATTACCGATTGACACACATGGCAGTACATGTGTCTTGATATCCCTGAATCACCAGAACATAGAAAGAATCCAAAAAAAGATGACATGTCGAGACAACTGCTTTCATGGTTCCCTTTGAGCAAGGCACCAAACCCTCAGCTTCTCCAATGAAACTGTTAAAGGTTTGATAATGGAAGACTATCACTGTATAAACATAGCACACACTCCTGGGTTGTTGTTTTTTTTAAGTTCCTTGTCTAAAGATTATACAACAATGACTTTCTGTGTACAATGCAATTTCACTTCTACAAAAACTAGACAGAGGCAGGCAGAGAGTACGAGACAGGATGTTTGCACCACTAAATCCACCAAGCCACAAAGATAGAATCACATTGTCAAATATTAAAGCAAAAGTTCATTCAAATGTAACTATATTACTATGGCTTTTTTTTTTTTTTTTAACAGCCTCTCACACTCACTGCTAGCCTAGGGTTTTAAAATCAGCTACAGTGCAATCTGTGCTGTTATTTAACAGAAAAGAAGGAGTAGATAAAAACTAAAACATTTGATTCTACTCTGGTGTTTCTATTTTATTCTCCATTATATTATTAGTTTTTGTGGTTATAAGCCTACAGTACTATCACTCAAGAATTCTCTGTACCTTTGGTCACATCAAGTCAGCAGTCTAGTTCAGATAGTTGACTAGAAAATTTGACTTCCCGTCCATACTGACAACATCTTAAAGAAGTTTCAATTCAGATTTTTAAGAAATTCCACTTAAAGCGAATATCTGCCCCCACTTCCCAATACATATAGAGTGCTATATACATATTTCATAATAGTTATCAATGAGGATGTGATTCTGTGTACACAGCACTTTCAGGAGAAATTAGTGGTTATGAAAACCAGAACCACTTTGAGTTGTTTATTAGAGACATCAAATTACAGGTTTAGTGCATTTGCAACTGTTATAATGTGATTTTTCCCTTTTCTCACTTATCCTATCGTGAACCGTTACTGCTAGTTGCAGACAGAAATACAGACATATTAATTGAGCTGACCTGGTACTCCTGCCTGCATCCACGGCGAGATGTCTGTCCCTTCTCCATGTGTCTCTAGTTTGGTCGTATTAATGGGAGCCAACAGTTTGACTACTTCCTCCATCACCTGTTAATACAGACACAGCTAAGTGCTTCTCAGCTCATCACACAGTCTGTTTAATGTCAGCGCTTTTCAAACATGGTTAGAACTTATAAAGAAATATTGTAATTCCAAGATTAGTTTCACATTACATGACCATTGCATGACAGACCCTTTAAGCCCATAGTACATGTTCTGTGACAGTCTAACTAGATTTTACAATGCCACATCAACATAAAAGATACAGTATTTCTGTGGTTAAGCATGGGTTTTCTGCATTTACTACTGTGCTTCCTGTGATTTAAATACTCTACTGAGACTACCCTGAGGTTAAATGGGTAGTTCAATGTTGGGACTACTTAAAAATGTCCAATCTAAGAAGCAATGGTCTAGAAGCAGGGAGTCAGTGGAAGAATGGATAATAATTCACACCACCTTGCAAAATGTGTGCTTCACATAATTCAGACTTTTAAGCCTGAAAAAATCCTGTTATTTATGGGACAACGTTGTGTTTTAAATCCTACCTTTCGTGCTGCATCACTGCCAGTAAATTGCAGACCCACCGGAGTAAACGTCCCCAAGTCGGACTCCATGACCAGGTCAAAGTTGGACATGTTTACCTGGGTGGGGAGAGGAAGTGACAATGAAGACAATGATGACAATAGACATCTTGAAACTTGAAACTTGAAGTAGGGTGGAGAAATAGACACAATAGATAGAAGAGGTGAAGGACTAAGAGAGATCAAGGCAGAGCACGGACAGCAACCCAAAAACAATACAATCTTCAGTCAATGAAAACAGTGAGCCACTCATTTATCTTCATATGAGGCCTCAGGAGGTAAAGTTGAACACTTAATCATCGCTACTTTCAAACCCCGAGCACACACACTCAACCAACCACGGAAATTTGCTAGTAGAGCTCTCTAAAATAGTTTAAATCTAATTATATATCAAATGTAAGAACCGGGCAGTCCACTGGGGAGGAAAACTTAGTTTTTGGTCCAGAAAATGCACAAACCCTCTGTTTTTGAGAGTGTAGTTTATTATGGGTCAAAGGCTGGTCTGCAGCCAAAGCTCTAAAGAAGGAAGCCCTGTAACTCCTTTGGACATATATTTCTAAACCCATACACTCTATACTTCCACAATGTGGTCTGACCCTTCCTGCTTCTTACTAACAGGAATAGTATTTGCTTTGTTTGCTGTTACAGCAAGTTTCCTATAAGGCAATGCAGTAAAAGTAGACAGTACCTTGTGTAGATTATAGTACTGCTGCGCACCGATTCCGCCCTGCTCTTCAGCCGTCCACAGCACTGTTCGCAAAGTCCTCCTTGGACGCAAACCTGGAAAAGGATAAAGATTTAAAAAAAGACACAAAACAACAGAGATGCAAATGTATACAGAAAGAAAACACATTAACAAATGACACAGTTGCCATGTGTACTGATGAAAATGCTGCAGCTTTTCTTTAGAACTTGTAAAACACACTCAAGTCTAGTAAATCTTGACTACAAAACATTTCATCACTGGACCTTGTACTCCTGATTGGCTGAACCTGTCCCACTATAGTCTTATTTAGTGGCATTCTTTTGTCCATAAGGATACCCGTACAGTATATCCGATTCTGTTTCCTAATTGCGCGTTCTTCTTCCTCTACAAACAGTTAGAGGAAATCACTGTTTACAGTCTGAGGAATTGTTTTGTTATTTGTCCCTAAGTTTGGAACTGGATACTCTGCTTGCGCTTCATGGTAATCACTATATATTGAAGCATCAAAACAGAAACATTTGTTTTGCTCCCTTTTATATTTTTGCTCTTGTACATTGTTCTACCAACTGTAAGAGTTGTTGTTTTTTGGCCTGGGCACTTAAAATCAACTCTGTTGAGCTCAGTAGGGCAATGGTAGGGTTACATTAAGCTAAATAAAGTAAATCATTTACTTGACTTTGTTTGTTTATGACCTTGTGTAAGCTTGCTGTTGTCTATATATTTTTTTCTAGTCATTTCTGCAGAATGTAAATGTTTCTGTCTGTGGAAGTTCATCTATCAGGCACCATTCACTGTATATGTGTGCGTCTATATGGTATGTCTGTCTCTATATTACCTAAGTCCTTAATAAGAGACAGGGCCTCCCAGGAAATCATGGCTCCACCTCCATCGTCCATGGCACCTTGGCCCACATCCCAACTGTCTAGATGACCGCTGAGTAAGACGACCTAGCAGATTGGAAAGATAGAGCAATATAAACATAGAAACAAGAGACTACGAGAGTGTGGGACCATTTTGCTACGTGCGTATCCATGGCAACTTTACCATTTGTCTGATCTAAATCAGACAAATGCGAGAGAATAGGATCAGATAATGCTATCTGTCCTAGATCCTTGCCATGTTTTATTAAAGCACACACAAACACAGAACACACAGGATATGCCTCAAATTTGACTCAGTATATATATTAAAAAAGGTATTTTATCAGCGAGGACAGACTCATAAAAACAGGAAAACAAAGACGAAAACACACAGTTCAGAGTCCCATTTCCAGGAATTTTAAGGACGATATTCCCGTCAGGCTCTGACCTGACGTTCCAGGTTACAAAACATTATCAGCCAATGAGTGAGCCAAGTCTGAACAATGACCCAGAGGCCACACATTCCATTAGAAATCTTATATAAACAGAAATGCTAATATTTTTTTTTTAGCCATGCAAGTGTCAATGGGCTGGCAATGTCAGTCAGTCCACCACTTTTGTCCAGACTGAAATATCTAAACAACTTTTGGACGGATTGCCATGGTACATTCAAGGTCCCCAACGATGACTTTTCCACAAACAGGTCAAAATGTTCACTTATTGAGTGAAATATCCCCAAATCGAACCAAAAACTTTTGTGATCCCATAATGTTTTCTCTAAAGCTATCATCAGGTGATCATTTAAATTTGCTTTATGACCGAATACCTGCAAAATAACATTCCCATCAGCCTCATCTGTACTTTGTGCTAAGTACTAACTGGCATGTTAGCATGCTAATATGCTAAACTAAGCTTGACAGGCATACATCAGCTAGGACTGGAAGACATACATATGCATTTAGTACAGGGACATAAAGACACACAGAGATGTTTGCACCTCTAAATCCATTGGAATTTGCTCATGAACACACTGGTTGTGTAACAGATAAAACCACCAGCAGTGTTCAATTATCAGGACATTTAAGTACATATAAATCCAACATGTATTATTTTTCTGTTGTACTGTAATTCTTCTGCCTCTGTTGGCTTTATATTGCTACAGTGAGGGGTACAGCTAGCTAACTAGTCTGTTTATGGCTGCTTGTTATAATGTGTTGCCAGTGGAGACAGCTAGACATATTGTAGTTAACATAGTTTAAATCATGAGACATCAACAAAGATATTTTTAGATGTGCTTCAGTAAAAAACATTTTTTCAACCAAAACACATTGACATTTATCAACGCTCATCCCAGTCACTGTCTAGCAACATGATTTGTGTTTTAGGCATAATTATAAACAGAAAGCCAACACATGAGGACATTTTGGATTTTAGTTGTAGAAGTTCAGTGGGTGGAAAAAAAATCCATGCAAATCATCAGATGACTGACTGTCTCCCAAAAGGCTCAACTGTGGAAATGACTCACTAAACCTCAAATGTACATCTTTCTATGAACATTTGCGCACACACACAATCCAACCACAAGAGCTGCTACTGCCAGCACGATCACAAAGTCACAGAGCCAAGAATGATGTCAATCATACCATGTGTTTCATTTCCCTTTTCTAAAATGAACAACCAGCTCAGAATAGTAACTACATCAGCAATGTTCCTCTAATACAAGTCTTCTGACTGATTTTTTAGTTCGCTCCACTTTTCTCTACAAATTAAACCAGTGAGACTGCTGTTTGTAAAGAAGAACAGGGTTTACTGGAATTACACACATTAGGATAAGCTGAAATATAATGGACATAACACTGTACACGCTAGGTTTGTGTTCTCTGATAGCAATCAAAGTCAGGAATCTTGTCTTTGGCCATCTTGGACTATAATGTAACTGTTGAATCAGCAGGCTTTATACTTGTAGGTCAAGAGGCTGTGAGGGAGTAAAGGCGTACACAGTTCATAGTCACATCCCTGGGAAATTCCCAGTGAAAACACCATTTATCTTCGGCCAACAATACAAATCTTGTCAGATATTACACGGCATAGAGAAAGCCTCTGTCCCAAATGCAATGTACACATTTCCTTCAAAACAATTTAAAAAATAGTCCAGGCAACCTCCACTTACACAAATGACACAGGCTTTGAGTGTGTGATAACAGAGAAATGGAAAATGTGAGGTCAAGTCTTCTCCCCCCTTTTCCTGATACGCTGCAGTTCTGTTTCACACTGTTTTTTACCACTCATCTTCACCAATCACTGCAACTCAAATTTACATACCCTGCTCAGCTATTTACGGCATGCTAACTGGGCATGTCCCTGTGAATGGGATATGTTGATCCTGCTTCTCATCCAATACTCAGACAGGACAACTCTGAGAAGACAGTACAAGAGCTCTGGACAGTTTCTTCCAAGGACTCCAAATTAAATCTGCCCCTCTAGTCCTAACTATTTACCCATGTGCCTTGGACATGCCACTTCTGGTATCCTGAACCCAGTGTTTGGTTTCAACCCTGTCCAGTGAATGACAGAGGCATTAGTGGGATTTTTTTTCAGGGGCCTCTTATTTCCTCACCTGCAGAGTGTACCTGCAGGCATTTAGAGATCTGTGCAGCAGCATCTTATCTGTTTATCAGGTTCTACCTGCTAAACGTGTCTGGGTCCTTATCAACATACTAAGGACCTTGTGGGACACTGCACTGCATATCTGCAAGCTGAATCGGGTCATGTGTTTGCTCCGTGCAGTGATAAGCTTCTAAAGACGGTCAGGGCATATTCTGTTAAACCTACTTCTATGATTAAGGAGTCTAATAGTAAAAACACTGGTAATATTGTGGCTGTAACTGGAACGTCAGTGTCTGTCTACGTCTACTGTATGTGTTTGCTCTGTGACATGGATATTTGCAGGTCAATGTCCCTTCTGAGCAACACCGTCCACCCGCATTGACATTGATTTACCGTGTACTAGTTATACCCGACAAAGTCTGAAAATAAAAAACAAATGCCAAGAATGAGTCCAGTGTTCCAGTACCTGTGTTGCAGTACAGAAACATCTGCCCAAATGTAGATTTAAATAATCTTTCTGTGTGTTTACATTAACATGTGTTCCCCATTAACAACTCTATTCATACCACAAAAGGATTCATGAAAATAGGAAGCCAATGCAGGGACATTTCTTAGGAGCTTCCAAAGAAGTAGAAAATGACTAAATTCCTCTGAAATTTTTATTTTTATTTTAGTTTTTATAAACACACCCAAAAACATAATTAAGCCGAATGGTTTGTTTACTCACTGCTGCTTCCATAGAACCTACTTTATACTGACGTACTGAAAGTGACATCTAAGCATCTGAGATGATCCTCAGTGCTTCTCTGGAAACATGAGATCGCACACACACCGGCAAAATAAAGCCAGACTAAACAGCTGTGGGAATATCTGGAGTAAGCAAAAGGAGGTTATACTGGCATTCTTTCCTCATCCCACCAAACAGGAAAAAACGGAAAGAAAGACTAATTAACAGAGAGACAAGAACATAATAATAGTTTTTTTTCGTTTCCCATACAATTCATTTGGAAAGCCCACCTAAACATATTTCCTCCAACACTTAAAGACTGGAAAAGAGAGGCCAGTAGCATGACAAGACACACGGATAACAAGATGACAGGTCAGACAAGTCGGGTGTCTGTGGTGGGAGTGTGAGTTCTACCTGCTCAGGGTGTTGCCAGCCTGTTATCTCAACCACTGTGTTAAACGAGTCGGCATCCGGCAGAGTCTTGGCTCCCATTGTGAGTCTGACCACGATCTTCTGCCCCCTCTGTGCCATACGCCACATCAGCTCGGCATCCTCCACGGTGATACAGGCCGTAGGGATGCGCTTCACTCCGTCTTGGTAGTCCTGCAAACCTGTGTGCGGGCTGGAGAGGGTGAAGACAGAGAGGTGGGTTCAACATTGGAACTTAAGACTTTGGTTTAGCACCACAAACAAAATACTGGGGAAGTGCATCCTCTCTAAGATCTAACTACTAAAGACAGATCGGTATAAATCTTCCGATTAAGCCCTCTTATCATACCCATAGACCCTTCAGCAGTACTTAAAAGTAAGTTTCATAACAGTTCCTCATAAACAGGTACCTGTTAATAGAGTATGGTGTAATAGATCGAATGAGGGTGGCCACAGCTCCCAATTTGGCTGCCTCAGAGGCACCATAAGCACGGTAAGCCACAGTCTCCCCGTAGCTGACAAATGGCTGGTTAAAAACCACAATCTTCCCTACGGCCTCACTGGCTCTACGCTTCAGTTCCTCAAAAGACTCAACCACCAACACCTCTGCCTCGATTCCTGGAGAGATAAGAGTGAGAGTGAGGAGAAAAGGGAAATTTATGACCGATGACAGACATTAAAATGATCTGATTCAGTCTTTACCTTCAGGTGGTGTCCCTACACTGCTACCCAGTCCAAGAATGGCCAGACTTTTGGCCCTGGGAAGAATCATTTCTGCACTCTCTTTTCCTCTTACCCAGTGTGGGATTTTGACTGGCTCTGCAGAGGAAAAGGTTGAAACAAAACTACTGTTACACTCAGCAGAGGACAAGACATTGCTGAGCGAGATCCCTTAAGGAAAGATCCCCTTGTCATTACACACTTCTCACATGAGGCATCCAGCGAGACAGATAACACCATCTCACCTAGATGTACATCCAACCCGTCCTGTGTTATAGCATTGTACATGTACTTGATAGCCATCTCCAGGTTGTGTGAGCCACTGACGCGGTTCCCAATGGTGTCGGTGAAGTCGGCCAGTCTTTTGTAAGAGCGGTTCTGGGCAGCTCCAAACACAGCCAGGTCAATAATCTGTTTGGCCACATCAGCATAGCCTGCTACCTCTGCAGCTATGTCAGACACTGGGTTCCCACAGACACACAGAAAAAGAAAGTACGGTTTTATATCCAAAACTCCTGTTTTTGGTCAACAATATCTAACCTCTTCGGCCAAAAAATCCTCATCATGTCTCAGATACAGTCATTCCACTATGTTTTTATATTTTTATACAAAGACCGGTACCGGAAGGGAGCAATATAAACATACAGTGACTACATGTAACACCACACAGTATGAGTCAGCAGTTATTAAACTGTGTGTAAAGACTGGGTCGATATTTAGTATTAATCTGTGATAAATGGACTGATATGTCGATGTTTTCTAATCTATCCCAATAGAGAGCAGTGAGTATCACAGGATGCTGATTTAGCTGTGCCACTATTGTTCCAATATAATCCATTGATGGCAACCCAGATTTCCACACATAGGCCTCGATCCTAAACTACATATATGACTGTAGGAGGGTTTGCGTCACCTTGCCTTGCAGTATGATTGGACACAGTCCTGGCTGCAGCCATTGATCTCATGGACCATCCAGAAGGGTGACAGTCACACAGAGGTGACAGCATGGAGAGAAACATGAGGAGGAAGGGCAGTCCACCTCTCTGACCCATCTGCAGATAGGAACAACATCAGTATCAGTACAAATAAGATCATTACTACTGTTCATACTGACAACAAAGGATCCCACAGTACCACTGATTATGTAAAGTAGATTAAAAACTGTAAAACCTGTACAATCAACTTCATGCTGTGTAATCCTACAGAGAGCTCCACAGTTAGTTACATTAAGTTAGCTAGTTTCTGGTGAATGATGAAATGTTGGTGGCACTTACAGCAGAGCTCATGTTACAGAGTTAGTCAAGGCCTGGCAGCGTCAGTGGTTGAGTCATACAGCATTAATAAAGTCAATTTAACGAGGCTTCATCTTTAATCAACAAATAAAACGTTCAATTAGACAGAATGAGGTTTGAATAGAGACGAACTGAGGGCGGAGAGAGAGACGGTCCGGAAGTTTTTGGACTAGCAACGAGCATGAAGCTTGATTTAAAGCATCCATAAAATAACACAAACACAAACCCTTCAGTGTCTTTGTTCTCGTTGATGATATCAGACTTCATACAGTTTTCACACACGCGATGAAAGCGGACTACTAACACCGTTTCCGTGCTCGTGACTTCAGCTTGCATGACAGCAACAAGGAACACTTCCGGTGCTTTTTCACAATAAAAGCGCCATTTCTACAAAATATAGTTAAAACAGTTTCCGCGTAAACAAATATATAATAGAAATAGAACACAATAGAACCTGCATCAACTGAAAGATTTTTTAAAATACTGAACAAAGTTTTATATGATAAAATTGTACTAGTTAATCATAAATTACCTACAGTTAAGTACCATAGTCTATACAGAACATGCATTTCATTACTGTAATACTACTAACACTCATTACTATAGCACACAGTATTTGTCATACTGTCCTAATGGCCCTTATTAGTAACATTCATGTAATTTAAAGAAATAATGTCAAAAGCCAGCACTTTCAGCACTGACATTAAACTGGTTCATACATGCACTCTGTTCAGCTCTTGCTATGAAGACAAAACTAAATATAAAGTTCCAAATATAATCCCAGCATAAATCCAGTGTTTGGGCTCTCAAGTTTTTGATTGTACCTCTAAAGGGATGTCATGCTCTAGATAGTATAATTAGTGTTCAGAGAAGATGTGATTTTAAGAATGCTCTATCCACTTTTCAACACTTCTCAGCATAAGTCAAGGTGCTCTTTGAACAATGTTAATGCACAGAAGAAAAGGAACAGGTTTTTTATGACCAGAGCCAGATACCTCTTTTCAAAGAAGCAACATATATATTAACTGTATCATTGCCACTTTCTATCAGTGCAGCCTTCATTTATTATTACATTAGACAGAAACCAAATTCTAAAGTGTTTGATGGGGCACTTTTAGGTTATATAATGTGTGTTTTTTTTATATATATAATTTCCATGTCTCCATGTCAACCGTGTTAGTTGCCAAAAAGATGTCCAGTGTTAGGAATGTATTGTATCCACACTGCAAAAAACACTTCTCTACCCACATCCCAATCTGCGGTTTTCGTCCCCCCTTCCTTCTCTACCACTAATGTTCTGCGTTCCTCTGCAGTCATTGGCATTCACTGTAACTGTCCCACCCTGTGAGAAGGGTCATATTAATGTTTACTTCTAGTTTTCATGCACTCTAGTATGTTACTGTACATTATGTACAGACGTTTAACTTCTGTATACTTTCAGACATTTGCTTTTCACATAATGATATGAGAAATTCAACATGTCACCAGCCCACTTTTTTTCACAGTTTCCTCTGCCATTTGTGTTTTCTTCTCTGCATCATCACTTTTTGGAAAACATCTGACCATTTGGCTCCATTCACATGCTGCTGGCTTGGTTTAACACAGTGGTTTGAAACATTTTTTTCCTGGCACCTTCATTTCTACGAGGGCGTTTCTTGAGGCTGGGAGGAAATGCTTTTCTGTGCTACTGTGCAAGGGGAACAAAAGCTACAACTGAGTGCTTTTACCTGCAGCTGACCATGCTAATTTAACATGTCATGACCAATAGCTCAAGTGTCTAGTCAGAGCTTTCATCTATTGACATCGTGAATTTCTGTTGAACTATAAGAGGACTTACTAAAGGAGCATCGTTAGGCAACAAACAAAATGATTGGCGTAACTGCAGTAATTACAGAGTTTTTGTATGCGTTGGAGAAAGACAGATAAAAAAGGCGGATGAAAGGGATAACAGTCAATAAAAAGGTATTGTGGTTGAACATCAGCACACATGCTGTTGAGTGAACACGTCTGTGGGTGTGTGCTTATGAGAGTGAAAGAATGGATGCTTATATTTAGACCAATCCCCGCAGCCCAAAAATTACAAGCAGCCAGTTTTAGAATTGCATTAAAGCCACGTCTTTTATTCAGTAGTGAACCTCTTAAGTTACACAATTTCAGCAACACAGTTCTCTATTGGCCACCGCACGTGCTTAAGTCACCATTTTATTTCCACACTGATTTTTGGTTGGTCCTCTTCATTGTGTAGGTGTTTATTTGTTAAAATCAAGGCTTCAGTCAATTCATATTCAACTTTGATTAAAATAAAAATGAAAGTTGCAGTATATTTACAAGAAACTTATTCTTATACTTTGATCATTTGAAATATTTTCATAGGAAAAAAAGGAAATTTTTAGAAAGCTACACAACTGATATTGAAATTGAAAATGAATTGAACCGAGGCTTGTCAATTACACTAAAAGCATAAATATAAAACAAACTGATCAGTAGGCACAAAGAGGCTGTGAATACTGTACAATCCAAATTTATCACTGACATATTAACCTGGATTATTGTCTAAGCAAATATAAATTAATACATATAAATTATAGTATCACCAACATACTTTATAAACCTACATAGATCCTTGAAAAGAAAGTTTATTGTGTGTCATCACCTGTGTGATTGCTGGCAAGTGCTAACCCGCTGTCTTAACCCTCTGTGGGTATGGTTTATGTCAGTATGAATGTTGGTATGGACAACAGACATCAAGTCAAGGGGTTTTCCCATAACTATTACATTTGTGGTTGTGCACAGCTGGAATTCTAAAAGAGTACTGTAAATGAATGTGTACAATGTTTCTTGAGGCACTGAGGATTCAGGTGCCTAACAAATTTCACCTTTATCAACAGTAAGTCACAGTGGGTTAGTGATAAGATCGTCCTGTTTATTCAGGCCATAATCAATAGGTAGTTTGAGTTTGCATTCAGATAAAATAGACTAGCTTTAAAATAGTCTTTTCTATTATGGCAAAGGAAATAATATCATGTAAACACTATTAAGTAGCCTCAACTAAAGGACAAAAGATATATGTAGACTCACACACCAACTTTCACTGATGTTACATTGCCTGATGAAGGGAATCAAATTGTTAATAAAAAACTGCTGCTACAACGTTTGCAACAGATAGGGGCAGTAACCTTTGACACAAGATAATCTGAAAACAAAAAAATAGCCATTACAATCCTGTAAGGAAATGCCTATAGTGATTAAATGGTTTGCTATGTGACATTAAAGTCAAAGTCAACAAAGTCAGAACAACAGAACTAAAACGATCTGACACCAATTTTAATGAGAACGTGTGGCTATATTCAATTATAGCCACACCTCTCTGCTTATTCCAGTAATCTTAAAAACCAAAATTGGCTTAAAAAAAAAATAAAATAAAAAAATTATTTGACCTTTTCATAAAGATTGTAAGGCCACCAATAGAGCTGCTTCAATAAGAGGCTAAGCATTGTTCTTTGACACATAATAAGCAGTAGGCAGCTGGTTAAAATTCATCAAAGACTATACATAGGGTAAATCCCCAGTATTTTCACTAAAATATATATTTAACAGGGTGTATACAAGTAAAAATAATATGCGTTTATGCTCAAAAGGGAATACCACCCTGTTGTCGTTGCGGTTAACTGTATCCTTACTGAAGCTCTAAAAGTTTCTAAAAAGATCCCCTGCTTCTTTGGTTGGCTGGCTGAGGTAAAGACTGATGATGAGGAAACATGTTTAAAACCTGACGTGCTTACACTCAGAGTAGCATTGTGACTAATTAAAAAGAATTTGTAAGTAGCAAATACAGTTGAGAGTTAAACAGACACCTAGAATTAATTGCATTTTTTAACTCTCCAACCCTGCTGTGTGAATAAGCCCTGACTTTAGACACTAAAAGCTGTCACTGTCCCCTTAAATTCAAACATGCTATTGTAGCTGTATACAGTTGACAGTCGGAAAGGAATGCGTTTGGCTGTCGTCAGAAAACCTTGGTCACTTTTACGGTTTCTGAATTATAGACATTAGCCTTGGCTCTACCTTAGCAATGCTGTCCCATGTGCTTGCTGCACTCAGTCAACAAATAAAATAGTCACTGAAAATATTACTAATGTTGGACAGATGCAAGTGAAGGACTTTTAACTTCTTAAGGCTGTTTGAATACTATGACAAAACTGAAATCTCTTTAAAAATGGCTTATGGCGATATAATCTCTAAACATTTATAAAAAAATAAAATAAAATAAAAAAAACCACAGAAAAAAAAAAAACACAGAAAAAGCTACTAAAAATAATTTTCCAAAGACAAATAAAGCACATTTATATTTGGTCAGTTCTATAATAAGTCAGATATCTGAGAAAACAACAAAAATATGTACCTGCAGAGTAACAAAATCTCTCATATCAATACTGGACAGCTTATGAAAAAAAAAAAAAAACATACTCATTCCTCATAACAAAAAATCTTCAATTCAGCAAAGAAAGCTGCAGAAAATGAAATGTAACAAAGAAAAATGTAACAGAGCAAATTTGACTTCAAACAAAGGCAAGAAGGTTTCAATTTTTGTAGGGATCCCACGATGTGGTACCGTTTCTAATAACAGCATTCAAAATGCATTAAAGCTATTCTTATTTTTTTGTGAACTTCCTTAATTTTGTTTAGCTGAGCTGGGATAGTTCAGGCTAAATGAGACAATTAATTTGTCTGCAAAGCAGAACGGAAGCCCGGCCCATCGTGGTTCAGTTGGGAGAAGTAATGTAGGTCTAAAAGGCACAGTGATATCAATACTTTGAAGTTGGTTTCCTAGTCTAGAACAGTTATGATCCATTGTGAAAAGATTCCTCTTTTAATGTGTATTTAAATGTCTAACTCCCTTCCTGGAATTGAATGATAGGAATATATTTTAATGGTCTTATTTGTTCTCTTATGACCTCTTCACAAACACTGAGCACATATAGAGATGTGAAAGGGAAGCAGAGGAGGAAGGTAGGAAAGATGAAAGAAAGAAAATGGAAGGAGCACTGCAGAAGAGGTGCTTGACTTCAAACTTCATCAAGAGGAATCGTCTTCAGTTGTTCATAGATCCATTCTCAGTCCTGATAGGGAGGAGGCAGATTGCATTTAAAGTCCAGCTCAGGCGTAGAACTCCTTGGTAGGTGCTTTGTGATAGGTTGTTGTGGAAAGTTTGGTGTCTCCCAGGTCATAGCTGCCTTCGTCCTTCTTCTTCATACGGTAGGCGAGGAGGAGGAGGAGGAAAACAGCACAAAGGAATCCCACCACTCCGCATGCTATCACAGCTGGAGAGAGCATAAAGAAAGATGAACATTTATTTTCGTGACAGTTTTCTTGTAAATGTGTCACAGTATATTTAAACATTAATGTGAATTTTAAACACAAAAAGATTAGTTTAAGTAGTCTAATTGCAAAATGTATGTATCAAAAATCTAAATCTTAATTACCTGCCAGCACTTCTGTTCTCTCCCACAGGTTCTCAGAGGACACCTCTTTTGGAGAGTCTATCTCATATAATCTGCCACCATGGCCATTTTTGACCAGAATTTCATTTTCGCTCATCTGGATTTCATCTCCATTGTCTTTGGGTGTTGTGGCATCCCACCTATCCAGACTGTTGTCGTCATCGGTATCTTTGGTTACACTGATGTCTATGCTGAATTCAGTTGTGGTAGTTTCACTGGGAGGCACTCTGGTGGACCTGACACTGGTCTTCTGTGTGAACCAATCAGCTGTTGGGCCAATACCTGCCATCTGGAGGAATATATGCATTAGTTAAGCTTTATTTTTACATGATGCAGAAGCAGAATTATATATATATATAATATATATATATATATATATATAGTCTAACTGTATAACAATAAAAGTCTAAATGCAAAATGGATGGGAGAGTTTTGGTTCATTCAAGGTGGCCAAAGAAACAGTATCAATTGCATATATTATATTATATTATATTATATATTATATTAAAGCCAAGTGATAAAGATTTTCTAACTTTTAGATAAGGATTTGTATGAGAGAAAAGCATTATTCTACCTCCTCGTCAGTGTTCTCTGAGTCCTTCATTGTGGTTGGTGGATCCTGGCTATCTGCTGCTGTGGTTGGTGGGTCGTGAGGAGAGTCTGCTGTTGGCTGTGGTTGATTTGGAATCGTTTCTTTGGAGACTGTGGTCCTGGAGAGGTTGAGGAACCTCATGAGTTTCTCCTCTTGATCGGTGAAGTTGGGGAAAGCTGGAAAAGAGAAAACAATCACCACAAATTATATCTGATTTACTTTCAACCTAGCACCATAACTGACTTAAGTTTGGCACAGAGTCATTGACAACAATGCATCTTCAAATGATGAAGTGATTTTGATTTTTTTTAGATAAGGATTTAGTGTTACTGTATGGAAGAAAATCCTCTTACTTCATAAAATAAAAAAATAAATTTAAATATATTGAATTATCTGAAAATGTATTTGTCACAAAGCTATAGGGCATATTTTCTCAGCTCATGACAAGTGGACATTTTGGCACTTTGTGGTTTTCATGGGACAGTTACACATGTTAAAATGTTCTCTGACTGTTAATTAACAAGTTCCTTTTACATGCAGGAGGAGTCTGTGGGTTTTATGACTTAACGGAATTTACCAAACCACATTTTAGTTTAAATTGTGATCCCACTGAATGTTCTGAATTAACTTAATGTTTCAACACAGTCACTGTGGGCATGAAAGTGAGTCACTGATAATAAAGGCAGAGAGTAATCTGACATCTGCGTGCTTCCAATAAAACCTCACCTGGTTAACTCCACATCACCTCAGGACAAACATCTGGCACACTGTTGAGTGAGTGCTTCTGTGTCTGAATACACAAGCACGTGAGTCTACAGTGCATATATTGCTCATCTGTCTGACATGCGTAATTGAGCGGATAGACGGTGGATCGGGAAACACACCCTGAGATAGAAACCTTTTGTAAAACTAAATTAAATTTGCATTTGAAGACATGTGATTGTGTAGGTTAGAGAGGTCACGGTCTCTCTATAGAAGTATAAAGCTCTAGAAAGTACAATTGCTTCAAATATGTTGCTGTGATTTACAGTAAATACACAGAAAGCACTTTAATATGAGTCCCATTGTAAGTCTATGGCCTAAGATCATCTTAGTTTTGAGATGCTTTTGGGAAACAGGGCCCTGGACTGTCGACGTTATTATTTCAAAAAGAAAAATAAATTATCCACAAGATTTATTCTTACTGTGTTAATTTAACTGAATCACAGTGAAAACAATTACAGAACAAACAGTCCCCTTTTTACCATAATTTCCGGACCCAGAGCCTGAGCCGTCGTCTTCACCGTCTTCATCATCTATAGGGAGGTCACCTGACGTTCGACCCTCTAGGTACAGGTCATCTGCTGTGGAGAAGGGTGACTGGGAGGAGACGAAGAGCTGGGAGACAAAACCAAATGACAGGTATTATTATTAAAGCAGGAGAGAAATACTAACGTAGACAGAAAAGGAGTCCCATAAATCACTTTTATTCACACTTGCAAAAATTCCTTCCCCTAATCGAAACCATGTGAACGTCTCTACAGTTTGGGAGTAAGACAATAGCTCTCACAAACCAGTGACCAATGCTGGGAGCTGAGAGTTCACTGGTGTCTTGTGTGTGCTATGGATCTGTATCCATACTGTAGCATGTGCAGTAGACGGAGGCTGGTTTCTTGTTCATTTCATGTGCTGTGGCAGTAATTTGTGATGCTTCACAGAGCCAGACAGCAGACATCTAAGTGTGTTTATGAGGAGGTGGTGGAAGTAGAGCAGCTTCAAAGGCAGGTGGACACACACAGGAAAAAATAACAGAAACTTTCATAAGATTGTAGCTCAGGAAAAACCTCCCACTCCCAATGATGAAAATCAAAACCCCACTTGTCTCGTCATCTGAAGCTCAGTCTGACAAAAGAAACTAGGCTTGAGCCGAAGAGATGAGGTACTGAAATAGATGATGTTACTCATTAGCTTGTTGAAATAGGGTTGTCTGAAGCAGATGAGAGCAAGCTATTACAACGTACAAAACGGCTCAGGCAGACATCAGAAAACATGGGAATCAAAGAAAGCAAGCAGATAATGAGTCTGAAATTGAAAAGGAGAGGAAAGGCTCAGCAGATGTTGGTATTAAGACAGACACACACACATACACACACATACAGACATGGATGAATATGGCCCATTGAGACCTAAAGTATGTCTGGTATGTATACTATGCTTCCACTAACACAGGTGCTGAGAGAGGGAGAAAGGAGGGAGGCTGGAGAAAGGAACGGAAGGAGAGACACAGGGACAGTACTGTATGTTTCTTGTAAAACAGGTGCTGGTGACATAGGAGAAGATGCGTGAGGAGGTCGAACTTTTAGCGCAATAAATAAATAAATAAATAAAATGTAAATGTATAAATCAGTTCTTAAAGTCTCCACATGCTAATACTGGGCTTTCATTCCTTTGATGATCAATAATCGAAAGGCAACAAACAAAACCCAACAAGCCATGTTGATGGTGCTCTGACTGACACGTTCTTCTGCGCGTGAAGAACCGAATGAGTGTATTTATTCTATTTTTAGGAACCAAAACACTTCAGTTAATAACACCAGTTGCTTCATTCTGCATAGACCTGCAAGCAGCATGTATAGCTATTTTGTTTATCAATAAACAGTAGATCTAGGCTTAAGACTAACCTTTGAGCTACATTTCCTTGGTGACTTCTGAGAGCCCTCTTTTTATTCATTCTAACTGAGATGTAACAAGAGAAACCCCATTATGAGGCGAACCAGATGTTGTGTTCGCATTGTGGTGAAACAGGCCAAATACAAAACCATTAACATCCATTTTCAAAAAGACAGCAGAGGCTCATAATGCCAGGGCTGACTCAAACAGCAGAAGGGGCTCTCACATTCTTGCTGTCGTCAAGCGGGGATTACAAAAGCAGATGCTGTGCTTGTCGAAACCAAACGCGCAGAGACGCCCGCACAGAACTGGAACTGCTGCAGGCAGACAAATGTGATGTTCATATTGCCTTCCTTGTATGTTTTCCTAATGCCCCGTCTTTAACCTTTTAAGTTTTAGGCTCGGAGCTGCTGACTGTCAAACTCATAGCTCCATGTTGGACATCACTGGCTGTGTGTGTCAGGTCTGCTTAGCTTTGATATAGAGCAGCTCATGCTCATATCTATACTGATGGAACTGTCCCAGCGAAGGAGGCACACGATGTACATGCTGGAAAATGAGCAGGATTCCCTTTTAAGGCCACAGCAACCAGTCCTACTGTGACCCCAGGTGCCACCGAGCTGATGGATTGCCAAACACACCACGTCCACCACGTACATGTACTCTAAACAAGATCCCTCACGCACACAGTGAGGAAGGGCATGGCTATTATTACCACTAACAGGGATACATGCCTATATCAATAAGTAATCAAATATGGCAAATGTATGCACAAACACACAGAAAATTCACTGATGTTCAAAGTAATTAAACATTACAGCGAACACTCACATATTCATATTCACATAGCACATTTTTATTCATAGCGTGTCTGAGAGAAACAGAACCGGATCAGATCAGAAATGTGTAGGAAGGCTAACGTGATGATATGTTGATAGATGATGATAATAACTGAAATATCGCCGAGCCCTACAGTCCTAATTTTTATTACTGATTAATGTATCATTTTCCCCCCAATTTAGTTACTAAAATGTCAGCAAATAAGGACAAATACCCAGTTCAAAGTGATTTCTTACTTCTTTCTAACAGTGCAGAACTCAAACATACTGAGTTATAATGAAATAAAACTGAATTTTACTTAAGATGAGTTGATGATCAGAATGAATGGGGAATCCCTATATGTTAATTGACTGATTGATCAGTCGACTGATTGTTTCAATTCAAGTGTTCCCAAACAAGTACAGACAATGTCACATAGACACTGAAACACAAAAGCAAAATAAAATCAGCTATCACTTTCTCTGTCCATTCCCCCTGCCGGGAAGAACTTATGCATTTGGGTTCACTGAAAGAGTCGACTGAGTCACTCGGAGGTTACACACATCTGGAAAACATACATATAAGCATAGCACACACACACATATACACACACACAGACTGTATATGAACATCTGGTCTCCCGGTGCATTGTCCAAGTGAAGACAGTTTTCTGGAAACAGCCAGGTCGCAGTGATAAAACACTACAGACACGCAACAGGCAAGCTGTATGAGTGACTTATTAAACGCTGTAATCAACAAATCCATATTTGTGTCCGCTGGATAAGGACTTATTGCAGTAAAATATTCCCCCAATGGGCTGGACATCAATAATAATGAGAGAGCACTCAGGCAGAGAGTTGTGTAACAGCCATAAGTACACAGCAGAGCTGTCATCACCATCTAGATAGCAGCAGCAGCACACAGCGCCGCGATGAGGGGGCGTATGTTTGACCAAGGCTACGAGTCATAAAATGTCTGACCCCTCGACGTCAAATGTATCTGTTTAGTTGTTTAACAGCTGTTATAGTCTCCGAAAGGCTATACAAAGCAAAATTATTTGACAGTAAAAGAGAGGGGAGGCGATGTGGGGTGAACTGATATTTTACAGTTTGGTAGGATTGTACAGAAAGACATAAAGGTATAAAAGCATTTTCCCCAAACTCTTAAGTTTGATACTACCAGCCAGAAAGTGACACAGTATCTACTTTATGTCTTAAAGTGTCCCAATAAAGATATTATGTCCTTAATTGAGATATGTATCACAGTTATTTGAATCTGCTGATCCCAAACTAAAGGCACACTATTTGGCAGAAGATACGATTTTCATAAAAATGTGAACAGCTCTGTGCTGGAGCAAAGAGCAGTATAAGAGCGAGTTAGCTCACCATCCATATGTGCTGAAAACCGCGCTGGTATTTCCCCTCTGTAAAAGCAACTAATTGAGGTGTTGTGCGTATTTGACAGTTGGGTGAAAATCCCTCAAGGGCACGACGAGATTCAAAGACAGACATACAAACAACAAAGTCACAAAAATGCCATACAACAGTCCGGCAGCCAATCAGACGGTGTCAGACAGACGGGATGTGTACAGTCTTGCCTTCATATATAGAACAGCGTTGTGACTAATACACAGGAAACTACAAATTCTCCACCGCTCTGGATGGATGTTTCCATTAATAGTTTACCATTTAATCAGCATTTGCTCTTCCTGCCACATGTGTGTTATGGTGATCTGTATCGGAAGAATAATCATGAATGATTATGAGAGGAAGTGTCACAATCTTCCTCCTGCCTACTCTGATGTTAAACTACATGTATCCCACGTAGAAACTTGCTTGTCTGAACAAGCCCAGAGAGACTCACTGTGAGTCATCCATCCATCCATCCATAAAATGACACCACCACTACCGGCTCACAAAGTGTCACGGGGCAGAAAGCCTGCTTCAACGTTCATCTTTCACATGTGAGTAACATCACTGACGGACTAACCAGTAATTCTACAGCCACACTCCGAGAGAGAGACAGTCTGAATATACGCCGTAACCCATCACGCCCAGCAATTTAGGACTGGAGTCTGTGTATTAGTGGCATGAAGTAAAGGGCACGTGTAGAGCAGAGTATGACACACATCACGAGATGATAAAAGTACAATTTTTGCAGCTAAAAAAGTCGCTTTCCAGTGATCACAGCCATTCAGCGCTCTCCCTTTTACAATATACAGTCCATAAATCATCAACATCATGTGTTTCTGGAGAGGTGGCCTCGCATTTAGGACTTTCCCACTCAATAAATCGTGCAACAGGGATATTTTTTTGCACTTGAGACAATGTACAGAGCTCCGCTTTAGCATTTCCAGGTGTTTTCCAGCTTTACAACAGACAGACACACAGAAGGGAAATAGTAACACAGAGAAATTTGTGTCTAGTTTGTGACTTGTCAGGTCAGCCAGAAGGATTTTGTCATTCTTTGCATTTTTATCCTAGTTAAATATTCATTATTTTCTGATACAGAATTTCATTTTTTGCATGACATTTTAAACCCTTGGCCCGAGCTCTTTGTGGGTGAGAAATGCAGGTCAGGTCCGGAGGTTTGGGTTTAAATGTCAAAGCTGTGAGCTAGAGGCTGAACAGACTCTGGCCCTGTGTGAACCTGACACCAACTGGACGCCTGAACTTGGCTTGAGTACACAGTGTATGAGTGAATATCAGTAAATCAGCATTAGTCCGCACAGCAACGATAGAAACACTGCTTCCTGGAAGATAAGGTTTGTTTAAGGTTCAGAAACAGCTTGTGTATATTTCATCACTCTTAGCAATACTTCACGCCCAGGTGGACCAATTAGCTAAAGTTTGTTAACTAAATGAACAACATACTGAACAAACTACGCTTTAACATTATATTTAGGGCATTTAAAACATGTTCCCATTGATTTTAAAGGGAGCCTGTATGGGAAAGTGGCAACCGAACAAAATCAAACGTTGTGGAAGGTTTTCTAAGCGTGTCTTTGCGGATATTTAGTGACTTTTCTCGGGATAAAAGAAAGACACAAAGTCGACATTATCGAGTCAAATAACACACAGGCTTTATGTGACGTTAGTTGTTCGATATTTCACACAAAACCGCAATTAAAAACCAGCTTACTTACTTTCTCACTGACAAACCCAGTCGCCAGCCCGACGAGGAACAACAACCGCAGATTCCTCATCTTAACTTCCAAAAAAAATAAAAAGTCAGCTGTAAAGTGGGGGGAAAAAGTAGATACTGAGAAAATAAACTAAATTATATACACTCAAAAGCAAAAACTATGTCGTTCCGCTTATTCTTCGACACCTTTTTTATTTTTTTTCCGCTGGTGTATACGGCTGCTTTGTTAAATCCCAGCACTTCGGTGAACGGCTCCGGGACGCGGTGTGATGTGGAGCTGCTGTGGAAAAGTTGTTTGGACTGGCAGCGTGGCTCCGCGGTGACGTCAGCACGGCATGCGTGACGCTCATTGAAGAAGGTAGCTATAATGAGCGTTTCTCTCTCTCTCTCTCTCTCTCTCTCTCTCTCTCTCTATCTATCTATCTACACACACACACACACACACACATATAGAAATCTGTGTGGACTGAATGGACTGATGATTCTGTACAGCACTGCAAACATAATTTTAGATTTCCTATACACACATTCAGCTGCTATAGTTTATAAAGGCCACTCAGCTAAAACTAATGCAGTCTAGTCCAAAAGGGCATGCAATCAAAATCTGAGCGCTAAATCTGAGCTGAGTGTTACCTACATGGTATGGTATGATAAAAAAATAATAATTAAAGTCGGAATTCTAAGATTAAAGCCAGAATTTTTATTTAAAAAAAAAATCAGAACTCATTTTTTTCCACGTGGCCTTAATCCTCTTCCGTACCTCTATGAAATGTGAATTTCACACATAAAGAAATACTACAATAGACATCACATTAACTACAAAGGTACAAACTGGTATCTGAAAAGATAACCTTACCTTCATTTTTTTGGCCTCAGCACGGCTCTTGTAGCAGAATTCTACCAGCGCTACCATCATGGCCAGACCCAGGCCTCCAACTAGGATGTAGAAGACTCCTGCTACGTTACTAAGAGACAGAGCGCTGGTTTTCTCCTAGTACATGTACAGACACAGGGAAAAGAAGAGTGCAGGCATCCAGAGAAAAGTGTCAGTGGGGTGGTTATGTTAACAGCTAACTTATTATTTTATCCCTAACCTGTCATCTGCACATAGTTAACTCATCTTAAACACATATACACAATAAATACATATTTAGATTAGGACAGCACAGAGTCACAGACACCTTGACTAAACCTAACCTGCATAAATTTAAACACATTTAAAACCGTCTTGCCCTTTATCAAATTGTTTGTGTATTAATCAATGTGTGCTTGTGTATCTGCTATTTTCATATATACGTTTTTGTAGATACTGCAGCAGAAAAAGATAATATATTTTCACTGATAAATGTTTCGATCAGCAAGATCTTCAGACATTGAAAAGGTGAGCAAATTACTTAATAAACATCCAGTGCTATTTTCAGGTCTCAATAATCAGCTTTAGCCATCATTTCTATGATGTTTCATAACATTGTAATTGCTAAATATGGCGACATCCCTAAAAATAGAAAAAAAAGAAGTTGTAAATAAGGCAACAACTTCTCCAGATTATCTAAACTACTTTATTTTGAGGTCAACCTAAGAGTGAGCACACACAAGTCTAACAAAGCCACTGTCTCAGTGTCCCCCAAGGTTTGGTGCTTGGTGTTTCAGTGCCTCTTCATCTTCTATAAGCTTCCCCTTCCCCCTAAAATTCTGCCATAATATCTCCTCTTGCCTTGATGTCTCCCTGTTCCTGCTTCCACACAAATCCCCAAGCTTTAGGTAATTTTTGATCAAACCCTCTCCTTCTCTTAATCACTACAAAAACTGTTCCTTTATCAAAAAAACATTGCCCGTCTTCACCCCTGCCTCTCTGTCTCAGCTGCTTAAACATTAATTCCACGCCTTTATCGCCTCACTACTTGACTAATGCAACAGCATTCTGTACGGCACATCCACCAAACTCCTACGATATACTACAATACATCCGAAACTCAGCTGCTCATTTGCTTACCCACTTCTGCACCAGAGATCACATCATCCCAGTCCTTTAAAACCTTCACCCCCTCCTCCAACCTCTTCACCCCTCTCACCTGGTCAGAGCCTACCTATATGTCACAGAACAAAAATTCTCTACGGCTCTAAGCTGTACGAGCCGCTGCCGCTAACTAGTTAGCAGTACTGGGATTTGCTTACATCAGCAGGTGAGCACTTGAGTCGGGCGAGCAGGCAAAGAAGTGGGGCTCACCAGCTTCCTAGCGACCACCCCTACCCCACCCTCAAACCACGTCAAATGATTTAATGGTTATGAGAATAAAGAAGTGACATCACTTGTTTTTCTTATCAGCAATAAAGTTACAGTTTGACAGTTACACCCCCATGCTTTACCTGAGGATGTCCTACACATTGCATACATCAGTAATCAACTCGTACTAACCATACAGTGAAGGATATAGAACCAAGGTTACTATGCATGTTGAGAGTGTAAAGAGACAGTGTGCTTGACTGATCCACAGACATATACAACTAACCTTATTAGTGGAATCCTTGAAGCCACACTCTCCTTTATCGTACCACCACTTGTTTTTCATCTTGTCTAGGGTCCCTTGCTCATTCAGTTTCAATACGGCAAGGTTTACTGGCACTCTTCAATGGGAATAACATAAATAACATCATTATCAATGTTATCTTATGTTATTAGTGGGGCAGCGGTTCTCGTACTCTAATCTCGCAACCAAAGACAGGACCCACTAGACTGTTTATTATTTGCTTGGCTTTACAATGTGCCACATTATTTAAATTTAAGACCATACCATATATATATATATATATATATATATACACACATATATAAGCTATCTCTCTATATATTGTCGAATGCCAAATGCTAACGTGTGTGGACAATTTAGACTGTTTTTAACATGATTAATTAGACAAAGCTGTTTAAAATTAAAATCCAGTGTTGTCAGGGCCCCTCTGTTTGGCCCCTGAGACAGAGAATGAGAGGCACTGCAGTCAAAAGGCAGCAGTATTCTTCCAGGCCAGAGCCATAGATAAAAAGAGTTTGGCCAGGTTGCACAAACTCTTTTATCAATAGCCCTTCTCCTGCACTGTTGCTGCCATCTGGTGTGAGGTCAACTGACCCTGGCCTTGCCCCTGAAGCCTGCCTTAACCCTGACCTCCACCAAACAGGGTGCAACACAATTGTGGAAGAAGCAGCACAGACTACAACGCAACCTGCTGGTGGCTCTTAGCAGCTTCTCAATCTAGTATCTATATGTAGCATTAATGAGTATTCATTTGTTCTCTTTGAAAAGTTAGAGCTTGGCATTGCTAATATTGCTGTCTGTTGCCTTCACATGTGGTGTTATAACTGTGCTTCTTCTTTACATTCTTTTTACACCTGTTAACCTAGTGTAACCCCTATGTTTGTGTGTTTTAGTTTGTATCTGTGTGTGTGTGTGTGTGTGTATTAACCTTGCTCTCCCCTCCTCCGCTGCCGCATTCTCCCTTGTCATACCACCACTTGTTTTTCAGTTTGTCCAGCAGTCCCTGCTCGTTCAACTTTAACACCGCCAGGTTCACAGCATTTCTACATGAACACAGTGGCTGTTAGCAGTTTATTGGTTGTCAAAGTCAATCCTCCTGCTGGTATGCATGTTAGCAGCATGAACCCTTAATCCTTACAACAAACAGAATACACAGCTGGAATGATTCTATTTTCTCGGGAGCAAACTTATCAGTATTAGATCTGACATGTCTTAGCGGTTCAAGCTCAACCTGCTGAATAACAATGGAAATAAGAATGTATGTCTAAATCAGAATCACTTGATAATGATATATAATGATAATGATATATATATAAAAAATATATACATGTGCATGTGTATATATTTGTGTTTATATGTACATAAGCGCATATATACATACATATATATATATATATGTATCATATGACCTTTGATGAAGAGAAAGCTTTACCAAATGAAAGAACACACCTTTCAGAGAAAAGATTTCACCAGAAGTGGAATAATCTGCTATGTGCGATCCCACTGTTCATTATTCAAATCAAAATACTGAGTTAAGTTAGAGTATTCATATCAGTCATTCATTCTGTGACTGGTCTGTCTCATCCAGCATCTCAGTTTAAAACAACCTGACAGATTTTAAGATACGTAGCAAACTAAGCTACACAAAC